CTCAGGCGGGGAGGTGGGAGGTGTGGGGGGTACCGGCGCGGCCGCCTGCTGCCTGCTGAAGGTGTCTCCTCTGCTTCTGGCGCTATTTCTTCCCACTGGCAGGCTTTCCCGCCCCGCTTCTCACATCGCCCGCGCCACCTCTGCGCCCTTCGGCTGCTGCGCGTCCCTGCGGCTCGGGGCTCGCCGTGTGTGTGTCTGTATTGCGGCGCTGGGGATTGCGTTGGAAAGCCACCTTCTTGCAGCGATGCGGGCAGATAGGCAAAAATGAAGGCAAATAGTCCGTCTGGGTCCTAAAGTGAGAAAATAACAGTACGTGACAAGGGGAGGAGTGAAGAAAAGTTATTTTATTGTCTTTGTATAGCAGGAAGTAAGACACAAGAGGTTATCCCAAACCAGGATTCAAAGGTCTAAGACAGTCCTGAAAACATGTGTGGAAAAGCGGCTTACTTCTGATGTAATTCCGTGTCTTGATCTCAAAGTGCTTGCGCAGAATCGCACAGGACCTGTTTCAAAGCCAGGAACTGAGTCTAGACCCCAAGCCATTGTCTCGTATCGCAATCAGAAGACCTTGTTCCTGCATTCCCCTTACTTCTGCGCTTTTTTTCCCTTTGTGTTAAGAATCTTCCTTCCAATTTCTCTTTTCCTCTCATTCAAAAATACATAGTCCAAAAAAACCTTTTACTGACAACCCACTGGGGAAACAGACCTTTGTTTACTATAATTAGATAATTTCTGAAGTTTTACTGTCATCTGGACAGTTGCTGAAATCTACCTCTGTCATCCACTTCATTTAGACTGCAAACACATTGAGACAAACCATTTATCTGGACAGTTGCTGAAATCTACCTCTGTCATCCACTTCATTTAGATTGCAAACACATTGAGACAAACCATTTTTTTTAAAGTATTCTTTACAATGCCGAAAATATGCTTAATTATAAATAAGGATGTAGTCAAAATTTCTGCCTGTTTTCCGATAGTCAGTTCTGGATTGAAGAATGGTCTGTATATAGCACAAAATGTGGATTGTCTGAGCTGCGTCTTAGCAGATAAATGCTTTACTCTTAAAAAGGTTTGTAGCTGTCATTTAAAATAAACAGACACACCAGAAAGAGAAACTTTGTCTTGGGAAAAATTCTGTTGTTCAGCCTGGCTGAACTTGTGGCCTCCTAGCTCTGTTACAGCAGTTGCAAATAATGAAGTGACACAACTTACTCAGAGTTTATGTTGTTTTACAAGACTCATGCCCTTTTGCTGAGCTTACTGTGTTTTCTTATTCAAAGAGGACTCCTTTTCTGTGTTGAGTCTTCATCTGGCAAACAAAGACAGTGGGAACGGAAATAGAGAATGAAATTCTGGATGTGTGCACCCTGCTCTATAGGACTGCTTCTGTTGACTTCAGGGGGTGTTGGCTATGTCTCTCTGTCCTGCCAGAATATTTTCTCTTCTTTGTCAGGTGGGGAAGTCTGTCTTAAGTGTTGAGTGGTTTTCTGGGAAAAATAGAAAGCTGGGCTCTTGACCGGCATCAGCCTGTGCAGATACCAAATTGTCACTAGTCTTTGCACACTTCTTCCTCGCAGGGACTGACTTGGGACTGACTTTGGGTTAAACAGTCCAGAGCTCAAGGGTTTGGCTCTCCACGTTTTTTCTAGTCCATTAAAAAAGCTGCTGTGGTCACTGTCTGAAACAGCTGAGTAAGTGTTCCCACACAGGGGGATCTGTACTAACAGCACCACATAATTAAACAGGGCGTTACTGAGGGCTGCACAAGAAGTGTTGCTTATTCTTTTTTGTGTAGTTGTTGCTAATTTTCAGTTGGTTTATTTAAATTTGGCAGATGGAAGCTGAAGAGGAAGGGGCAAAAAAACTGTCGGAAGTAAATTTTGAAAACTTACCTCCCAACTACCATAATGAGTCCAACATGGAAACCAGAGTTGGTAATAGAACTGTTCAGACTCATCAAGAAATTGATAAGGTATGAGAAAACATATATAGCAAGCTGCTGGTTCTTACACAACCTTTTCTTCAAAAATAAAAACAATTTTGCACATTTTGGGGAGAAATAAGATAATTTGGAGCATAAACTTTCCTGATAATTACTTTGGGGTTTTATTGTATCTTATTTCCTTGCCTAATCACTGTGTAAGGGCATATGTCATAAAAGGTTAATGTGAAATAATAATTTATTTTGAAAAAAATGCCTGCTAAAAATAGAACACAGCTACAACTATTACCTGGGTCATAAAAGAATGACCATCTCTTGCTCAGTTAGCTTCATTACAGTGATATTTTAAATATATAAGGAGATAGCCTTGTCATCTACTTTTTTCCCCCAGATTAGGATTTTATATGAGTGACAGCAAAATGGGAAAAAAAGGAGGGGGTGGGGGTGGGTTAATTATTGCAGAATGTAGGACTGAGAGTAACAAAAGACTAATAAAAAATGTAGTTTGATATTTTGTTCTTCTTTTGCTGTATCAGGTTACAGATAACAAAACTGGATCAACAATTTTTTCTGAGACAGTTATTACATCTATAAAAGATGGAGAAAACAAAAGAAATCATGTAAGTGAACACATTTTTTTCCTTTTGAAAATTAAACAAATACTTTCAGTTCATCATCCAGAAAAAGGTGATATAGTTCACCTAGCAAAATTTCTGAATGCTTTGAAACACACAAAACCATTAGGGGTAAGCAGTCAGAAATGTTTTTGTTTTTTAATTAATTTAACTTAGGATTATTATATTAGGAATTGGAAGCAGAGTTTCAATGTTGTGGTTAACTGAGGTGCTTGATCTGAATATTCAATTTGTCTGTCAAATGTAAATGTTGTACTCAAATAGCAAAGATAGTTACACAGCCCTTTCCAGTGAGTATGAATAAACCCTTAGTATAACAGTGCTTCATGTATGTCCTCTCAGTGCTTTTGGGTTTCATAAAAAAATTGCTTTATAGACTTTTAACACTAGAAAATAAACCCCAAATTGTCTATTGTGAGGAGTCTGTGGAACAATATATGGCTTTATTTGCTTTTCAGCCTAACCTAGTGATGGACAACTGGTTGTGAAATGTTATTTTGGGGAGGGGGAGAGGGGCAGGACAATAAATCTCCCTCCTCTTTGAAAATCCTTGTTTAAGGATTCTCAAAGAAGTTTAAAAGATGAAGAATATTTTTTACCTGAGTCTTGCAAACACAGGTACGTTTGCTAAACATCAGTAGTCCCATGAGAAATTCGGCACATACCACTACTTAGAACAACCGTTAGGTTTTCTTCAGTTACAGTCTTACCAAAATGGACTTTCTGTATGCTTTTATTAAGACAGGACTTGCCAGTGTTTCCTCTGATAGCTGGCTTCATCTGACTAATAGCTTGTGGTTTAATTTAGTTTAACATGCCCTGGCTTTTTTTAGAGTAACTTTCTTCCAGTTCTTTCACAGAAGCAGCTCTTTAACTATTTTATAAAACATTAAAAAAAGAAAAAAATATGGCGGTAGTTCCTATTTTTAATGGGCATAACACCTGAAATTAGTGCATCTTTCTGCTATTATCCTCTAAGTTTTCCCTCTTTCAGCTCATATTTTTGTACTGCTATTAAAGTTTGAGAATGGCAAGTAGCAAAATAAAGTTGCTTGTGTATGCTATACTTCTTTTTTTTTACTATTTTGCAAAGCTTATAGATTAAGTCGTAAGTCAAGGTACAAAATAAATTGCAACTATTCTAAGCTACAGCTTGATTTTATACAAAGTGTTAACATATTCCACAATGCTTTTTAATAGATATGTGTAATGAAGGCAATCCAAATGTTTTTTTCAAGCAAATATGGTCATCATCTTCAAACCAAGTGTACAAAGGCAAACTTTTCAACCTTCTTAGCACTGGGACACAACACTGGTGGTGTTTCATAATGTATTTGGCTTGCTTGTGGTGTCTGTTCATTCTTCACAGCTGTATTTCTTTCTCCAACGATCATACAAAGTTCCTAATAAGCTTCATACATCAAGTGACATTATCTGCATTTTCCTTATGGGAAGGTTGCCTCGCTTACCAAGCCAGTGCTGCATCCAGAACCAATACTGTTATTAGTCTTCCAGCTAAAGAATTTGAGGGTTGAATACAAATTTTTGTCAAACTTCATGGTGGCATGAAGTTCATTCAGTTATGAAGTAAGCATAATCAGAACTGATCACGTTAACTCCTAATCATTTAAATCCTGGGACACTTTATTCATCAACATCCTTACTGCAGCAGCTGCTGAAACAAAACTACGTTTGTTAATGTTGATTTCCCCTCTCGCACTCATTTTGAACTTTCAGCATGCCCATGGTACAAACACCTTATTTAGAGGTTGCCAAGTTAGAGAAAAAGTTAAATGGGAAAAGCAACCAACAGACGTATTTGGTTGTTTTTTAAGAAGAGCAGGCAAACACGCATGTATTAATTTGACTAAGAGATGCCTAACAGAAGTAAATCTGAAAATACTTGAAAACTGTAAACATTGAAGAGGAATATGAATTACTTAGTTTACTACAAGGGTGAAGAACTATTGTAGGAGTAATGGCATGAGATTAAGAATTGGAAAATTTGGGTTACAGCAAGAAAAACGTGCTGCCATGGAGACATCTACCAAGTGGAAGAAAAATTTTGTCCAAATTAAAAAGCACCATTGCTTAGATCTGTAAACTTAAGACAAAATTATTGGGAAAATGAGTTGCAGAAAACTTTGCACTGGCCCCTTAGGTCATTTTTATATACATAAATTTTCATACTTCAAGTGTCATGTGACATTGTGGGACATCCCAGTCACTTTCCAGGCTGCAGGCTTCACAGGCCACTGGATGATGGAAGAGTCATTCTGCTTCTTTGCTGCTTGTTTTAAATGTTAGCAACAAGTAGTACATGTATAGGTTTTGTATTCTCCAGGCAGTTAAAAATGGAAACCTTTTGAAATCTGGAGATTATCTCAGGGGATCTCTAAATACAGCTAGCATATGCTGTTCTGTAACACACATCCTTAATACCCATCGGTGATTCATCCTGCTGTGTACTATAATGCAACAAGAGGTTTGTGTAATTGTAGCTATAAGTATTGACAGTCATTTGAAAAGGGTGATGCTGACATTTTGTTCTGGGGATGGAGAATTTGGTAGCAGAGGCTGTAGGGAGCCAGCCATTGGGAACAGGACCTCTGTTCTGATGCTACTCCCGTAGCCTTCAGATTGGTGCCTCTTTAGAACAGCACTTTTGTTTTTATTTTCAGTCTGCCAAGTAAAAGAAATGGGCACATGCTATCACACAAGCTCAACTTTTATGCTTGTAGGGAAACTGAATGCTGAAAACCAAATCTGTTTCATAGGTTCAGTTTATAGGCTTAGCTTATAAAAGTTAAGGATTCCCACAGCTCCTGTGCTTTAGGTACAAAATTGGGCGGTAAATACAAGAATTCATCAAACACCTTAGCAAACCACCTGCTCTGAAATGTAAACTCTATATAATTTATTACAGCAGTAATTAGTAATAGCTGGAACCCTACAACCCTCAGTTCACGTGTATTATCTGAGCCAAGTTCAAAGCCACTGAAATCACTGAAAGTTTTTCCAGTGACATTTTCGGGCTTTGAGACATGACGCAAAAGCCTCACAGGTAGGCAAAGATGTATCTTGCGACAGTTCTGTGTTGCAAATATAAATCCACATACTGGCTGAAATGAAATTTGACACTGGAGAAGCAGCTTCATGGAAAATAGGTTGTGTCTGCATTTTAAATCACAGCGCCTGTACCACCCCTATGTCCTCCTGCAAACAGGTACAAATACACGTGTATATATAGTGCATATAAATATATACAAGTATATACACATACATGTAGTGCAGATACACTATTACAGAAACATAAGGCATAATCTTATTTTGTATCAGTATTTTAAGTCTCCAGAAGAGGAATTGGGCTGCTTGCCATTTCTGGCAATGCAATCCATTTCTTCAGAGGTGCTGCATTATTTGGAGGCGCCATTTACATTCCCAGACTAACATTCACTTTCTCAGATGTCAGTGAGGACTGACAGTCACCAGCATAGATGTTAGGCTTTGATCCAACAGTCTTGTGTCTTTAGAGAGGCCAAATACAGGCAAGAGGTAGCTGGATGTGCATGTTTTTATGTTTGTGCAGGGTTTTACATCCAGTTGCACCTGGGTTTAAGGCTCAAATATTCTGTAATTTACTTCTCTGGGGAACATTAGTTAGCTTGCAAATTAGTAGAGTAATTTCAGTGGTAAGCTCAACGATAGAACACAGATAAAGTAACAGCACTCTTTATTACCATATGAAAATCAAAATATTTCTGGCTTGTTGACTAGTCCTGTTTCAACTGTGATACATTAACCTAACCATTGAAAAGCAAGCATGAAAAATAAAAGGAAACAAAACTGGTACTGGTAAGATTTGCTGCACAAGGATTAGTTGCATTTCTTCTCAGTTGCATTCATAGTAGTATTTTATATAAGCTCTCTCTTCTAATTCAAAGCTAGTGTACCTAAGATTTTTTTTTCTTGACTGTATTAATTTGATAAATAAAAATAGCAACAGCTTCTCTTTAGCAAGGGGTTTTTTTTTCAGACTTTAATAGAAGTACATCTGGTTGCTTTCAATTCTCTTTCTTGAAAGAGATTTTTAAAGATGCTAATATCTAGGGAGGGTGTACTAGGGAACTGGAAGAGTATCATGCATTTCTCATTTGGCTTTGGCACTATAAAAAACATTCATTTTTTTTGCCTGCCCTTGGTGGTAGAGGCTCTTGAGGGCATGACTGCGCCTTCTCATTAGTTACACAGTACAGATCAAAGTTTCTTTGTGGGGGAGTAAGGAGAGGTGTCTCCAGTGTGATTCTGTGCAAGGTGCTTGCTCTTTCTTTGCAAAGGTGGGTGTGTGCCTGTCTGTACACATGTATTTGGTACCCACCTTCTGCAAATACAGCAGCTGGTTAGTAAGTAGTTTCAAACACTCCCAGGTCCTTAGGAGAGAGGCCCCAGGATAGCAAGCCTTTATTTCCATGGTTAGAGGGTGCTGTTTGGATCCCTGCAGCTCTGGCAGGGAGGACTGTATCACTGTGGAACTGCTTTTACAAGCTGACTTGGCAGGTTCTGGAAGTGACCATCAGTCAGGTCACTGGTTTATCTGTAGAGATAGAATGGATAGCATCCCCATTATGATGGCCTTATTTAAAGCATTTTTCAGCCTTTATCTTTAGTCTCACAATAAAACAGTAAAAAGAAAGAAAATAGTAGAAGAATTAAACATTAATCTCTGGGATTCTATTTCCCCCTTTTCTAGAGGAAAATCTGTTTTAAATGGCTAAGCTGTAGCACTTCATAACCAAGCTTCCACTTCTCTGCAGATATCCAGAACTGCTAAAGTAACTGCTTGATTCCTATTTGAGCAACTTTTACATGATTTCACTAAGCATGTTCTCAGCCTCATATACTGGAGTTGCTCTCTTTGAGATTCATACTGCTCCAGGGAGAGGAGTTCCTACCTGTGCTGAAGAGAAAATTAGTTTTGAAAATTG